GGTGGGCCGGGGGTCCCGTGCGCGGGGGTGCCCACCTCTCCTGTCAGCCGTGGGGCTGGCTCCTCTGGCACCCGGCGATAAACCTCGTGGCGATGCGTGTTCGTGGGGTGCGGCGTTCCGCTGTTCCGTGGGGGGCATGGCACGGCAAGCACGGCCCACAGGCCGCCTTCTGTGCGCGACACAGCCGGGTGTAAGTGAGGTACACGCTGGTCCCGGGAAGGCTGTTAAATCAACGTCTTCTTTCACTGTTGGTTCGTATTTTGCCTCCAAAATTCATGCGAGATTAAAATGAAAGTTTAATTTTTCTAGGAAGAAGAAAAACTAATCCAGCAGGAACTAACCAGCTTGAAAGCAACAGTTTCAGCCCCTACCACAACACTTGTAAGTGCTGTTAGTGGTTACAGGGGTTGGGGGCAACAGGCCGAGGGTGAGGAAGGCAGCAGTCTCGCCCTTTTTGCCAAGTGTACAGGTTATTTGCATTATACATATCTAATTATCAGCATTAAAAGGTACCAGTGTCCGTGTTTTTGCAGCACAGTTAAAATAGCGAGGGCACTGTGATTCTGTTGGATGGGAATAAACTTTAACAGTATGTCGCCCAGAGTCTGTCTCTCTGTAGTTTCTGAAATAATGCCCACAGGAAACCTAGGTGATGGACTGCTTCCATCAAATAATGCTCCTTGCACGCTGACGGTGTTCTTACAATTAATCTGTGCACTGTAAAAAGCTGTGATTTGTGTATGCCCTGTTGCTCATGTCTGAGTTGCAGGAGTTGATAGTTCTGGTTTGAGTTAGTTAATGCGTATCTCGGTTCCCGCGAGTGAGAATTTTGGAAGGGAAATACAAAGTTTTACTTCGTACATGGTGAAAACCTAGGTCAGTGTGGCGATTGGTAAAAAATAATTTGCATTAGCAGTGGGATCGTGTAACACGTCAGGTAGTTAATATTTTTTATGGTAGTCACAATTAATCTGCTGCTGATCACACACATGCCAATTAAAATAACATCTTTAAGGGTAGTGTATGGGCAGTTCTGCTCTTACAGCCAAAAATTAATACTGGTTTGCAGAAGAGGTTCACAGCCAAGGAAGGATTATGATTACCCTGACTTTAGAAAAACCTGTATGAATGCACATGTGTTTCTGTCAGATCAAGTCCTCTGCTTCATTAGAGCAGTAAGGAAGAGCATGACACACGTCTGACTTAAAATTCTCAGTGATTTATTTTTGGTATTAGAGTGTATGGTGAGACTCATCTATTGTGAAATGCTGGGGTACGAGTCTTCCTTTGGATATATCCATGCGATCAAGCTTGCGCAGCAAGGAAACCTTTTGGAGAAGAGAGTTGGTATGTGCATGGAGCTGTAGCCTAATAATATTCTCTAACTGTGTTCTTAAAATTTCTTAGGATTTATAGTTTGGGTAAAAATACCACAAACAGTGTTTCGTAGTCTTTCAGTCTTCTTTGAAAGTAACTAAATCCCTAGTTTGTGAGCTGCTCTGTAATTGCTTGTAGAACCGAAGCAGGGGAAATGAATTTAAATCAGCTGTTGTTCTTTCATTGTTTTGAATTGTGGCCTCAATAAAGAAGTAATTGAAGGGAAATTTTGTTAAAAAGCACATCAAAGCGAAATGAGTTTCTGTCAGGGTCGGGTGTGTTTTCCAAGTGCTGCAGTGCAAGCTTAGAGAAAGATGTTACTGTCAGACAAGTATTTTCTGGTTTGGTGCTTTTTTTAGTTTAGAAACAGCTGTAGGAAATGAGGCAAATGGGGAGGTCCTTATGGCTAGGTGCAGAAGTTCCTGAGGAAATCTGAAAGGCTTGTTCAGATCTCTTGGAGATTTCATGCCTTCATGATTTCCTTGCCGGCCAGCGTGGCTCTTAACTTGCTGCCAGTAGGTTTAGTTTGAAGTAGCTGTCAGCCTGTCTCATCTGGAGAATTTCCTTGCAGTTGCTGATTCAACTGCCTAGTGAAGACATTTCTTCTTGTTTGCAGAGAAATGGTTTAACTCCAAGCAATACTGTGTCTGCATACACAGAAGGAAGGCAGTGTCTTGCAGGATATGCTTGTTTGATACCCTTTGTTTGAATTCCGTCTGGATCATCCACTCAACTGTTGGAGTTTCTGAGAGAATGCGTTACAAGTGATGATTTAAAGTTGCTTTATCCCTGAGTAATGCAAGCCAGTGCGCAGATGCCCTGGTAGGGATAAGAATTTCTATCCTCACCAAACCTGGGAGGGCAGGTGGTAAGCTGTTTTGAAGAAAACTTTGTGACCTCTGTAAATGTGAAGAACTAATGTGTCTTGTTATCACTTTGAGACTGTGCCCCACTAGGGCTACTTTTGAGAAGGCTTTGGTGAAGCGGCGTTTTTTATTTTTTTAATGTAGGTGGCTTATTGTTCTCTGGACACAAAGTGCCCTTAAGCTTTGATCTGGTAAAAGGGCGTTACCAAGAGTGTGTGTGTGGGTTTTGGGGCTTGTTCTGCAGTTACATGTGATACATGAGGATGACCTTTTCTGTTCTTGGTGCAGTGTACCAAAGTTTGCCTTAAGGAATTGTTGTCAGTTGATCCGCTCAAGGTGGGTCACTCCTTTACCCCATGTGAGCCCCAGCGAATGGGAGCAAGCTACATCTGTGCAGGTTGCTAAGCTGATCAAGTCTGTAGTTTTACAAGCTGAAATGATGACCAACTGAAATGGCCCCAACCCGCTTTAAGTCCCTTAGTTTAAAGGACAGAGGGGTCTTGAAGAAAAAGGTTTCTGGGAAGTTTCTTTTCTGGGTTTCTGGAATTGTTTCCTTCTTGTTAAGAAGTAGCAAGGGAGTTTTTGACATGGGATGGTGAATTTGCCTTTCTGTATTCAGAGATGAATATAAAAATTATTTGAAATAGAACTTTATTTTTTTTTTAAAAAGAGAAACAGGTACCAGGAAGTGCATCTGTTGTTACGTAGTCTAGAAGTAATATGCAGAAAAGATCATTGGTTCTGCAGGAAGTGATTTCTCATGGTGCTCTTGACTTCTCTTTAGCTATAACACTATTGTCATGTCTCTCACTTCTCACAGCTTATGGATTCGTAGCTGTTACTTGTTGAGCTTTACTCCAACTTAAATATAACTGGTTTGCCTGGAAATAAGTCTTGATATTTAAAATCCCAGCAACTGTCATCTAACAATGGGGTGTTTTGTTGGGTTTTTGTAATTGTTTGAGTTAAGATTGTCTGTAATACAAGAGTTAAGTTTTCTGTCTTGAAGTTGCTTATTTGTGGAAAGTAGTAATCCAGGCTGCTTTCTTTTATAGGTTACTTGGCAGTTTCTTTATTTCTACATGAAAATCATGAACTGCTGCTTCTCCTTGTGAACACAGTTGTGAAGGTACAGTGTTTTGGCAGGTCTGGAGGTAAACTGAACTTGGGGCGGTTCTTCCCCTTCTGTGTAACACAGCATCTATGCCATGTACTCATTAGTTCTGCCCTGTGCTTTTAAAGCTGCTCTTTCTTTGGTTAGCACTGAAAATCTGAAATGGCTTTCCCTGGCTGTTTAATTGAATCTTGG